AGTCACACGGCTCCCTGACAGTGGTTGTCACTGGATGGTAGGAATTTCAAGTAATTGGGTTTGTGTTTTGTTTTGTTTTCAAACTTCAGTCACAACTCCAGTACAGAAATACTCACCAAAAAAGGGTGGAGAGAAGGAAAGATTTTAAATTCAGAATAAAAGTCAAGTCTTTATAGATTGATTTCTCAACTATATTGTCTATCTAATGGTCAATAAAGTATTAATGAAGTAGAGGAAGATATTTTAAGCAGAAGTTATAGTATTAAAAAATACACAGTATCACATATTTATTTATCCAAAAACCTTCTGCACAGATACATTCAATCTTACTAATTTTAATAGGAGGATTACAATCTATTATATATCTATGTTGTTACTCCAATTATAACAGATTTGCCTCAAAGGATTGTTCTGAAAGTGAACATATAAAAGGAAATCTTTATCCTGACATCATAATATAACAAAATCACTCTCTTTCCAGTTTACTCCTCTCTTACATGGGAAAGTATAAGAAAAGTTAGCTCAGCGAGAAGACTAGTAAACAATATTGCCAGGAATAACTGAAGAAGAAAAAATACTAATTAAGCGATCACTGTTTTCATAACATGCCTATTTTAGCTAAGGAACACACGGAATAAAAGTGAAAAGAGCTTGCTTTCATTGAAATTAGTAGACAACAAAAATAAGATTTTTGCAAACAGCTGCTGTAAGATGGTTTCATGCTTTTTAGTGGCTGGTTTTTGGCTAGGAGAGATCTAGAAGTCTTGTTCCGAATCTCAGAGAACAGGCAGAGAAAAGACATGAAAATACAAACGTACATATAAAGATTACAGGGGCTATTATACACCCTGGAAAAATAGGGCTAAAATGAGCTGGTACTAGAGTCAGCAGGTGCTATGGTGGTTAAGGCACTGGATTCCCACATAGCCGGACACAGTATGAATCCCAGACCTGGCAGCTTGAACATCATGCCAGGCATGTGTGTGTGCATGCCTCAAATCCCAGGAGGAGAACAGGAGAGAATGGATTATGACATGGCCATCTCCCATCGGGGGCACAATTTCTCACTTTCTTTCTGTCTCTGTCTCTCTCCAGCAAGAATATGTACCCGATAGCAAATCCTTTAAAAAAAAAAAAAAGAAAAGAAAAAGAAAAAAAGCTGGTATAGAAAAGAGCTGGCAGCCAGGAGCTTAGGAGAATACCCTGCAGGGACACACTCCCTCAGTTAAGGAGGAAGCTTACATAAGAGATGCCCATATGTATTCCTGAACTGGCATTCTTTTAAATTGTTTCCATTGAAGAGGTTTACTTAGATTTAACGCACACTTAGAGGTTCTTTAACTTTGCCTAGATTAGGAAAAAGACCCTCTAATTTAACATCTGTAAATTTCCAATGATCATCAAAGTTGTCAGAGATGAGTTCAAATCAAAGAATCAATACACAGTAAGCTTGTGTCTGGAATTTGAGGGCGAGGCTGAACGCACACCACCTTTTTATGATTTCTGCTGTACCAAAGGCCTAAAATAAAACACCACGAACTAGGCAAGCACGGACACTAACTGTATTCATCATGTGTTATCTGGGAAAAGGTAATATCTGTGGCTGCCGCCAGACCAGGGACTGGAAGAAAGTCATTTTAAAAAGTGGACTGATTCTGAAACTGACCAGTAAAGAATTCGGGCTGTAGGAAACTCATCTATGTGTGTCAGATGGCAACATTGAGCACTGCCCAAACTGTTCTCTTTGTAACATTAAAAAGACAATCAGAATAGAGAAATCGTTAACCCCTGAATTAATCAGGAAATAGTTTCTTTTTTTGAGAGGTTTTTGCTATAGGGCGCGTGTGTTCGCCAGAAAGACAGAGACAGAGAGACAGAAAGCGAGAAATCACTCGCCAGGGGGGATGGCCACTCCACAATCCCTTCTCCTCCACTCTCGTCTCGGGATCTTGGGCACGCACGTGCAAATGCCCAGCATGAGTTTAAGCCACCGGGTCCAGGACTCAAACCGCGGTCGACTACATGGGAGTCCAGTGACGTAGCCATTATGTGAACTGCTGGTCCCAGTAAATAGTTTCTTATTGAAGTATTTATCTAACTGCAATTAAAGTTCATTCTTACATGTCAAAAAAAAAAAAAAAAAAGTCATAAAGTACTCTTAACAACCTGAGGCTGAAAATTGAAACTAAAGACTTAAAAATGAAGAGCTCATCAAAGAACAAAAGAAGCAGAGAAACATTTGCTGTCATGGCGAATACCCCATGTTTGCATGTGCATACACACACAAAACTACTCAGATATGGCCAAGATGATGTTGAGAACAAATTAAATCTTTGTAAGAATTCGTCAAAAAAAAACCCACATTTTTTTAAAAGTGAAAACCTAATTTTGTTAAAGAATATTTTCATTTAACTTTATTAATTTATCCATTTATTTTATTTTAATTTGACCAGAGAGAGACAGAGAGAAACACAGAAAGTAAGAAAGCAAGCTGTCAGGGCCAGGAATCGAACAGCACCCTGCAATAGGACACAGAGTAAGACAGCCTTCACAGACACATGAAGCAGGAGAATATACTGCCACTGTCACCAAGACACACTTGAAAGAGCAGGGCCATCCAGAGGTACACAGCAATTACAATCTCAAACTCACAGCAGAGGTTACCTCCAAGGGAGAAAGCAGGAAGAAAGAAGAAACGGCCACTTGCACCCCTCTCCACAGCTACCCAGCTTTAGAGAGCAGCTGCTACAGCTCGGCTGTGCACACTCAGCCTTCCATCCTAGGTGAGCACGCACAGCACTCGCACTCACACACACACACACACACACACACACACACACACCCCATCCTGTCCCACCGAGGGGAAAATCTGAAGAGTCCTGGAAAAGTCTGTGACCTCCTTTCCAACCACTGTCCCCTCCTCCTCACCCCTGGAGCCTGCAGCTATGGCTCCCACTGCAGGGCCGCCTCTCTGGTCGCCCTACCGGCGATGATCCCCTCTTCTCCCCAACCAACATGGCTGGCTACCCAGGACCGTGGGGTGGCCCACACAGACTCCAACCAAAGTGCAAGCTCTACTAGGCAGGGCTGTGTCTGTCTTACCCACTGCGACATGGACGCTGCCGAGGCTAGAGCTGGACACAGAGCCGCCAGTGTCGGCTCACCAGAGCTGTGTCTCCCATTCTAACACCCTTCAATACAACTTCGACCAGGTATTCCAACACAGAGACCTTCACTGTTATTAATACTCTTTTTATCTATCATTTTTTAAAGCTACACATTACCCTAACGTGTACAGGACACAGCATAAACAATCCATTGTTAGACATTTAGCCTTTAAAACATCTATCATCAGATTTAATAGTAGATGTTCTTTAGACTTTGTGATCAATCATTACTCCTTTCCTTTTTTTAAGAGAGATTTTTGCTATAGGGCACGTGCACTTGCCAGAGAGACAAGGGGATGGCCATGCCACAATCCCTTCTCCTCCATTCTTCTCTCAGGATTTTGAACATGCATGTACACATGCCCGGTGTGAGTTTTAAGTCTCCTGGTCTGGGACTCGAACCAAAGTCAACAATGTGGGAGTCCAGTGATATATCCATTACACCATCTGCTAGTCCCAATCATTATTTCTCTAGAATAAATTCTTCTAAGGGACCAGCAGATGGCATAATGGTTACATTGCTGTACTCCCACATAATCGAGCACAATTCAAGTCCCAGACCTGGTGGCTTAAACTCACGCGGGGCACATGTGTGTGCGTGCCCAAAATCCCGAGAGGAGAATGGAGGAGAAGGGACTGTGGCGTGGTCATTGCCCCTGAGGAGTGATTGCTCACTTTCTGTCTGTCTCTCCAGGGAGTGTGCACGCCCTGTAGCAAAAATCTCTCTTAAAAAAAGAAAAAGAATACATTCTTACAATAAAAATTCCGAGTCCGTGTTTCAAGTCTCTGATAAATGTCACAGAATGACACCCAAACAGGCCAGGCAGACTTGGCCGCGCAGGCAGATGAGCGCACAGAGCTATCGTCTCATCCTAGTGCGGCACCTAAGTCTTTCGATGTCATTAACTCAAAAAGCGAAACACATGTTGGCGTGCCCAAGTAATTTTGTGTTCGAGTACACAAGGCATGACCTTCACTCCTCAAATCTACCGTTCCACAAAGTCTGTGAGAACGGGGAGTTGCAAAACATTCCTCAGCATGACTTTACTAAGAGAGAAGAGGGTGACGACCAGGCCTGTAAACAGGGCTCTAGCCCTCCCCTTTCCTAGGCCCGATCCTTCATCTGGGAAGTCTCTAGTTCGGGGAGGAGCAAGGCAAACAGAACAGAGATTGTGATAGCAGACCCACAGATCTGCAAGTCTGAAGCCGAGGCAATGCAGGCATCTGAGCCTGGCACTCTGCCCCAAAGGGCACTCTTCCCTCTGGTCATCTGCCCAAAAGGGAGACCCAGTAAGTGAAAGGAAGAAAGGAGACACAGAGCTGTCCACACAAAACAGGAAAGCCGTCACCGTCAGCATAAAACTATCAGCACAGCACGGGTCCGGAATGGAGACCCTCGATGCCAACTATCACGGCCATCGAGGACCCCACACACCAGGCTGCTGACTGAGTAGGAAGTACTGGGACCACAGCCAGACCCTTCAGTATGCTCGCCATGGGTCAGGATGTCCAGGGTAACTGAGCAGACTCCCCCAGCACCGTTTCCACCTGCTCCGTCAGCACAGGGAGGAGCTGCACTGGGGGATCTGCTCCCCAGGACGGGTGCAGAATGCCGACAGCAGGCCCGCACTGTGCCCCACGTTCTGCAGGGCTCAACAGGTTGTCACCACAGAACCCAGGAATGCCTTTCAACAGAATCCTGATGATACACGGCAGTAACACTGTGTTTTAAAAATCTGGTCAACCCATCTTTTCACCATCGTGAACATTTACGAACTACGTCTTTAGTATGTAAAATGTAATTGAAGGAAGTTTCAAAGTTTCTTCTTTTACCAGAGGAGCCCAGTAGGTGTAGAGGTAGCCTATTTTCAATGCCGGTGCAAACTGTGAGCAGGAGACTACCAGAAAATAGAGGTTCAAGAAAAACTTGAACTGTGCGTATAAAACCTAAAAAGGAAAAGAGAAAATTAACAATCCTTTCAATAAAAGCTTTTAATACCTCAATTAAATAAAAACAGCACAAAACGCAACCTCATTTCCATCAAGCATTAAGAATGTGACCTGACTCACTGTAACTTTATTTTGACATTAGTTTTCCAAAAGCTGTAACACATAGAGATCAGGCCACCCTCAAGTTATATTTTAACTTATGTTTTAAACTGAAAAAAAAAGAGAGAAAATTAAAACTTTCAACCATGATGAAAGTATCCTCTAGAAGTTTTGGATTTTTCTTGTATAAAATGGTTCAGTCTCCCACTACTGAGCTACAAACCTGACATATGCATCAAAGCAAAAGCCCCAGCAAAAACTTCCCAACATCAGTAACTCAGCACATATCCCAATGTGTATCTTGGTAATAATTCAGGAAATCTTACAATGGAAAGTTCATATTAACCACATATTTATAAATGGTAAATAAACAAAATATAAGAGCCATGTTTTCATAACATGCTGTCCGAGTAGCTTTACGAAGAGTGAGTGAACAAGCACACAGAAGTGACTTCTAAGATCGATAGCCTTAGTCTCTTGTTAGAACTTACTCAAGATACAGAAATGATAAAATATATAAATCTGTAAACTACAGACCAATTTTCAGTACGACAACTACCTACCTACTTTTTATAGTGTTTGGTAGTTGATCTTTAATAGTACTTTCAAATATAAAATTAATTTCATCATTCAATATAATTTTAGGGATACTAATATTGAAAGTTTCTGGTTTTGTGTTTTAATTCAAATATTGGGTTTTCAGAAAAGTCATGACATTTTTTCCTATGCAAAAATGCATCACGACTTTTCCCAAAATCCAATAGTAATCTTTAAGAAAAAAAAACAAGATGTAGCATACTGTTAGACCTCTATTTGCGAATGTCTCTAATTATTAGATTTAAATGGAAAATCAAAATGGAACAAAATGTGTTCACAGATGAGAATGATGGAAACAGCACACTATGCTCACAATCCTACTTGCACACCTGCACCTCGCACACCCTGGTCTGCCGCCACTTGGAAGGCATGGGGAATGCAGAGCGAGCAGGACAGGGCTGAGCACTCAGGCTGACACCACGCTCTTACATGACGTGTGGGCCGAAGCGTCACTTATGTTGGTGACACATTTATATTCATCATCATGTCCAACTGCTGTCTAAGACGTTTGAATTATTTCATAAATTAATCTCAGCAGGTTTTTGGAAAGAAAACACTTTTTCCTTGTTGATTTCTTTAAAATCTCAGCATAAATTATCTCTATTAGCAATTCAGAAATTGCCATTCATGCTACAAACGGCATAGAATTCCTACTGTGTAATTACCAAATGTTTCTAAAATACCACATTTGAGTTGAAAAGACTGATTTCAGAGACAATCTAAGAGAAAAATGATACACACGGCAATCACCGTGCAGACCCATTGACAGGTATCTTCAGGGCACAGCGATCCAGGCAACCTGGAAGGACCTGCGCCGAGCAGGGTGAAGCTGCGCTGTGGGCTCTACACCACAGTGATCAAGCCTCCGCCATCTACAGAGTGAGCCTGGGGCCCTTTAGGAGAGCGGACGGCGTTAGCCAGTACATGAGTAGCTAACAATCTACACCGAAGGGGAAAACAGGGGCTTCCTGAAACAAAGAGGAGAGTATTTATCTGCCAGGAAGACAGCGTCCATTTCACTGTCCTGACGAAAGGTCAGTCTTTTACTTAGGAAGCTACTGGTCCGTGTGTTTTTATAAAGCAGCACATCAGGGATTCAGCTTGTACTGTCACTGGATGGTTGGGGCCATCGGTGTAGGACACACAGCCACGCGGTAACCACCATCAGAACACATGCAAGACAAAGCAGCTCTCGCTCACCTAGTCAAGAGCGTTTCTTGCAAAACAGAAAACAAGCAATCCCTAGAACAGATCAAAAACTTCAATTTTGGGGAACGAGCAGTTAGTGTAATGGCTATGTTGATGGACTCCCCACGTAGTCGACCGTGGTTCGCGTCTCGGACCCGGTGGCTTAAAACTCACGCCGGGCGCGTGTGCGTGCGTGCCCAAGATCCCGAGAGGAGAATGGAGGAGAAGGGATTGTGGCGTGGCCATCCCCCCTGGGGGGGTGATTTCTCGCTTTCTGTCTCTATGTCTCTGTCTGGCGAGCGCACGCGCCCTATAGCGAAAACCTCTCCAAAAACAAAAAACAAAAAAAACAAAAAAAAAACTTCAATTTTGAAACATAATCAGTACCAGCCTATTTTGCCTTTAGAAAAAGAAATCTCCCTGTTAAGATAGGGAATGACATATAAAAAGCAAAAATTATTCAACTATTCTAAACATACATAAGATGTTTTTTAAGCCAGAAATACTACTAACAAAATGCATTTAACTTCAGTGTTCAAATTGAGCACAGTACCTAATTAGAGACAGCTAACGATCTAACAATATAATAAGGCCTAAGCTCACAGTGCGAAGAGCGGCAACACCCACATAAAATACGCTGCAGGTATTCTGTTACTGAGTCTCTTTTGTGTGTAAAAACTGTTTTATTTTCTTTGTGAAATTCTTTGGCAAAGGGTTTTAAATGTTAAGTTCTGCTTTTCCCCAAGACGAATCCCCAACCAGATAAAGCCCGTGACTTTTCTTACACTTTGATTTACTTTACTGTCTGCTCCCTTACATCTCCACAATCCTAGAACACGGTGTTTATCAAGGACTGAAGGCAATAGTCAGACTACGTTTTCTTGGGTTGAACTTGGTGATGTAGGCATTAAAAGTGCATAGAATGACTCAGCAATTACTTGAAACACGACGGTTTTAAAGCAAAAAGACGCTGATTTGGATCTGACACGATACATAACAGTGAAAGTCTCAATAGTTTCATCCATAAAACAAAGGAAGCTAGCTAGCACTCTCTTCAGACACTCGTCTTCAAGAATGTAAGGTCTTACCCCAGGTATAAAGGTAAACACGTTGTATTTTTGGTTTTTTATAGTATTCCTGGGGTGTTTTTCTTCACACTTCTCAGGACATCCCAGCCACACGGTGCGAGCTTTCAGCTCATTTTTCCGTTGGCAGATATGTACCAGCCAGTCACAGCAACTGCGTGGAGCAAAAGATACACGTTACATTTGCACGGAGCAAAAGACACACGTTCTATTTGTGTGGAACAAAAGACACGCATCTATCTGCAGGTTTAAACTAACTCTGCCTAGTGAGAGCCAACACTGGTCCCCTCAGCACCTACCACATGCTAGTAACAGCACATCGCATGTCCATCTACACGGCTCTTCTTTAAATAAATCAGTATACAAACGTTTCTACATTTGTTCTAGGGCACATGCTCTGGCCAGAGAGAGGCAGACAGGACAAAGGGAAGCACACCCTGGGGTGAGAGCCATGCCATAACCCCTTCTCCTCCGCACTCAGGATTTGAGGCGTGCACACCCCCCAAAGCCACCAGGTCCAGGACTTGAGCTGCACAATCAGCCATAACAGAGTCAGGCATCTGTTTTTTTCTTTTTTAGAGAGATTTTTACTATAGGGTGGTATACACTTGCCAGAGATGAAGACAGAAAGCAAGAAATTACCCCAGGGGGCATGGCCACACCGCAATCTCCTCCATCCTCTTCTTGGGATTTTGGGCACACACACACACACACACACATACACACACACACGCACGCACGCCCAGCATGAGTTTTAAGCCTCAGGGTGCGTGACTCAAACCATGGTCAACTACATGGGAGTCCAGCAACGTAACCATTATGTTATCTGCTGGTCCCAGGATACAGGATTCAGGCATCTTAACCACCACACCAGCAGCTGGTACCAGTTATACAAAATAATATTTGATACAGAAATACTGAAAGTCTCATATAAATATACCGGCTTCTAAACCCCTGAAGAATTATCTCCCCTGTGCCTGTGTAAACACTCTTATTGACAAAGTAAAACCATTAATGTTCTGAAGCAAATACTGCACATGCGCAGAGAAGGTATGGACCGCAGAGTGTTGGACATCTTCAACACAGCATTCGGTGAAGCAACGGCAAAGGTCCGTAGATAACACTCAACCCAAGACGTGGCTCCTCTCTTCTCTTAAACAGCCACCTTTTCTGCTCTTGAAAAATAAAACTTTCCAGTAAAGGTAACTAATATAATATTAAGACTATGGATTTTTTTTTTTTTGAGAGAGAGGTTTTTGCTACAGGAGGCATGTGCTCACTGGAGAGACAGACAGAGACAAAGAGACAGAAAGAAGGAAATCACCCCCTGGTGGGATGGCCCTGTCACAATCCCTTCTCCTTTGTTCTCCTCTCGGGATTTTGGGTACACACTTGATTCAGTACTTAAAAAGGATATTAACATATAACGTGATGTTCTAAAAATGATAAAAATTTGATAGTCCTATTTTTTAATTGCCAGAGAGAGCGCATGTACACTCACCAGAGACAGAAAGGCAGAAAGAGGAGAAAGTACCCCCATGGGGCGTGACCGTGCTCACGATCCTTCTCCTTCCCTTTCTCCTTCCTGTCAGAATGTGGGGCACACATGTCATGCACCCGGTGTTTTTTTCAAGCTACCTGCACCAAGATTCAAACGGCAGCTGGCCATATGCGCTCCTGCATAGCAGTTTCGAGCTTGACTGCTGTGCTACAAGGCCAGACCAATAGTTTTTCCACACAGCTATCTTCACCTACGCAATAAATATTTTAATCCTAAATTGACCCTACTCCAATAAGGTCAGGGTTCCCGGAGCAAAACTTCCACTTCCTGGCCTTCCAACCATTATCTTGGCATGGAGAATGTAACCTTTCCAGTGGAATAACTTTCCTTAAAATACCTCAGAAAGGGCCAGCGGGTAAAGTGGAGGTTAAGGCAGCTGGATCCCACAGGGTCACCTGGATCCCACAGGGTCACCTGGTTCCAATCCCAGACCTGGTAGCTTGAAAATCACACAAATGCATGTGCATGCCTGCCCAAATCTGAAGAGGAGACTGGAGGAAAAGGGACTACTGTGTGGCCATCTCCCTGAGAGGTGATTTTCCTCTTCCCCCCCCTGCCGCTCTCTGTCAGGTGCAATGTGTGGCAAAAAACTAAAACAAACAAACTCAGAAAATGATAAAAGGTATTGTGGCCTTTAAATTGAGGTTAAAATTTCTTTTTTGGTTAGTGGTGTGGTGGTTAAAGCAGGTGGATCCCATAAGGTCTACTGCATGGTTCAAGTCCTGGGCCAAGTGGCTTGAGAACATGCTGGAAATACGTGTGCAGGTGCCCAAGATCCTGAAAGAACAGAGGCGAAGAGAATGAGGCATGGGCATCCCCCTTTGGTGGTGGTCTTTCACTTTCTCTTCTGCAAAAGCATGCACCCTATGGTCAGATTTAAAAAAAAAAAAAAAGAAAGACAGAAAAAGACTTAAAATGTATCAAAATCATCACCCTTAAGCACCATACAACCATAAATTTAAACTTGAGTGTTAAAACTTTGGCTTATTGCAGATTTCAAAATTGCAGAGGAAGACTTGGTGCTGTGCTGAGAGAGGCTGTTACAGTCCGTCTTCTGAAGGCACTCAACTTCTGAAGGCACTCAAAGGCTGCCACAGAAGCCGGCTGCGTACGCCAGAAACCCTTTCCTTCCCGTTGGAAACAACAGGACAAGGTGTGGGTGCGTGAGGAGGCCGACGGTCCGCACCCACACCTCAGTGCCCCTGCGTCCTGCACCCGAGGTTCCATCCAAGACCCCAATCACGCCAATACCTCTCCACAGATCACCTACTGCACAGGCATGAAGACTCCGCTGTGTGCCCTCCATCCGCCCTCAGGCTCGGGAGGGACAAGCACACGTGCGACCCTGCTGCAC